GGCACTAGATAGCATTAGGGCTGTTAATGAGCCGAGTCGAGTCGAGCTTTGCCATAGTTCGGGCTCGGCTCGTTAATATATTTCCAGGCTCGAGCTCGGCTCGTGTTCGTCACGAGCTTTAATATGCAAGCTCGAGCTCGGCTCGTTTATGAAAATGAAAGCTCAAGCTCGGCTCGAGCTCGGCTCGTCAAATAAGCTTAACGAGCCCAAAATCAAGTTCAGCTCATAAAATGTTCATGATAGCTCAAGATTGACCTAGAACTACGCACAAAAGTACATTTAACTCTGTAGCAAAGTAAAACACAATATTTATTCCAATTTCAATACTTAAAATCCATGAATTCTAATTCTTTTTTTATGCCAAACCATTAAATGAGCTTGTTCGCGAGCGTTCGAGCTGAACATGGTATGGCTCGAGTTCGGCTCGTTTAATTAACGAGCTTGTTTGCGAGCCGGCTCGATTAAAACGAATCGAGTATCAAACGAGTTTTTCTCGAATCACACACCGAGCCGTTCATGAGCGGCTTGGTTCATTAACAGCCCTAGATAGCATTAGTCACAATCAAATGGTCGGATCACATAAATTCACTACATGAAGTTAGAGGTTCTTGACCTAACAAAAGGTTTACCCCTATCAAAGAAGAGGAGAAATAATTACAAAGAGAAAAGGAGAACACCATCTTCAAGGAAAACAATTTCTTCAATTCAATCTTTTAGCTTCAAAATCTTTCCAAGGAGATGAACAATCTTACCACTCTTCTCTTGTGTTACTTCTTACTAATCTTGGTGCACAAAAATCTTCATTTCTCTCTCTCTCTTATAGCTACGGAAAATCACTTGGCTTTGAATTCAAGTCCCTTATTTTAGGCCAGGGGATGCGCAAGATCACAAGTGAAGTTAATGGTTGTAAAATCCAAAATGCATCCATGATCTTTGGAAAGGTGTTGCTTCGAAAGTGTTGATTCCTTGATTCCTGGTGAAACTCACTATTACTTTTCTCAGTTTTGGTATAGTGTTCACCGGTACATTTGGGAGATGACGAGTGTGATCATTTGGAGACGAGGGGTCATGTTATGGTCAAGATCAGTTTTGGATACGCGCGGTCACTAATACCTTTTGTAGATGAGGAGGTTATGTTATCTCACGAATTAGTGCTGGACACAATCACCACCACTTATTATCGATGAGGAGGCTATGTCCTGATACGTTGTTTCTGAACGGTTGCACTAGTTAAATCGAGGGTGAGACCATCTCAAGAATCAAGATACCCATTTCAAGAAAATTAATAAGGAAACTTTTAAGTTAAGACTAAAAATATATGTTCATAATGATAGGCACTCTCTAATTGTCAGAACAGAAGCGTGCAATCGATAATCCAAACCAACACGAACGAACACAAATTTAATGTGGTTCACTAACACAATGTGTGCTAGCTAATTCACGGGCAGGGGACACAAATTTCACTAATTTGAGGAGAGTACAGGTTACAAACCAAATTCCAAACGGACAAACCAAACAAACTAACCTGACTGACCTTACTACAGACTAGGGTGATGAAGAGTATTTATAGAACTCTTCTCCTAATCCCAAACAGAAAACCAAACACCTTTTCCAAACCTACAAGGAAAAGGTCAAAACAAAGCCCAAACAAATAAGCCCAAACACAAAACTAACCCAAATCAAATTCAAGTCATATTCTAACAATCTCCACCTTTACTTGAATTCTCTCTCAAATACCAAATGTACCAGACGCAACCAAAGTTGCCAGATGTACCAGACTCCTCTAAATCAGCTGTACCAGAATCTCCCCCGCCTCCAAATTCCCCTAAGGACGGTCAATAACTCAAACCATTCGGCAAGTCCAATCCATATTGAGACTTGCCATTCAGAACCAACTTGGTGCACTTATCACCAACAGAACATGTCAAAACAGAACCTTGTAGACCATACAAGGCACCAACCTTAACACCTTTCAGAATCGCCTTAAAACCCTTGTAGACTGACAACACTTCACATTCACCTTTGAAACTGAAACCCTTGCTGTCGAGTAGACTCAAAGATATCAAATTCTTAGTCATCTCTGGAATATGTCTAACATTGTTCAAGGTGCGAACAGAACCGTCATGTGTCCTCATCCTGACAGAGCCTCTTCCAACAATCTTACAGATAGCACCATTGGTTATAGAAACATGACCTCCATCTATCTGCTCATAAGTTGAAAAACACTCCCTGCTTGGACACATATGATAATCAGCTACAGTATCTAAATACCACACATCCTGATGATGTACCTAATCATTCACTACTAAGGCTAAACCATCTTCAGAATCAGATGATTATTTCTTCCTCCACAGCAGCCGATGATTCATTCTTCTCCTAATATTTCTTTAGTTTAGGACAATCAAATTTCCAATGCCCTTTCTCCTTACAGTAATGACATATATCATCATTCAAACCAACAAAATTTGAATTTACATTAGCCTTCCTATTACCAGATTGTTGTTTCCTACTACTCGTAGCAGCCAACCCAGATGCCTGATTTTCCAAACCCGAACCAGACGCCTAATGTCGAACCTCTCTAGTATGTAGAGCAGATCTGACATCTTCCAAAGACAAACTATCTTTCCCAGCAATAAAAGAATCCACAAAATTCTCATATGATTATGGCAAAGATACTAACATAATTAAGGCAGCATCCTCATCATCTACTTTAACATCAATATTCCGCAGATCTAACAAGATGGTATTGAGTTGATCTAGATTATTCCTGATAGACGTACCTTCCTCCATACGCAAACTGAACAAACGTTGCTTCATATGCAACTTGTTAGTTAAAGACTTTGTCATGTATAGACTTTCAAGCTTCAACCGCAAGCCCCGCAGCAGTCTTCTCAGCAGCAACCTCAGTGATGATGTCATCAGCCAAACAAAGCAAGATTGTAGAGTGAGTTTTCTCCTCCAAATTAATCAACTCTTCTTCATATATACTTTCCTTCTTTGATTTTCCAGACAACGGAGCCCATAAACCTTGTTGTTTCAATAGTGCTTGCATCTTGATCTGCCACAAAGTGAAACTGTTTCTTCCGGTAAACTTCTCAATCTTCATACTGATAGCAGTCGTTCTTACTATTAAACAAACTCCAACCAAACTTCTCACAAAAAAAGCGAGACCAAAACACAACTACCCAAAGTCAACTCCAAAGCGATTCCTCCACCGAACCAAGCTAAAGAATTGAAAGCTACCTCCACAAAGCAAAACTTTAGTCCATCGCCAAATTCCCAAAACCGCAACCAAAGGCTCTGATACCACTTCTCAGAACAGAAGCGTGCAATCAATAATCCAAACCAACACGAACGAACACAAATTTAACGTGGTTCACTAACACAATGTGTGCTAGCTAATCCACGGGCAGGGGGGACAAATTTCACTAATTTGAGAAGAGTACATGTTACAAACCAAATTCCAAACGGACAAACCAAACAAACTAACCTGACTGGCCTTACTACAGACTAGGGTGATGAAGAGTATTTATAGAACTTTTCTCCTAATCCCAAACAGAAAACCAAACACATTTTCCAAACCTACAAGGAAAAGGTCAAAACAAAGCCCAAACACAAACCCAAACAAATAGGTCCAAACACAAAACTAACCCAAATTAAATTCAAGTCATATTCTAACACTAATAGTGTGACCAAAGTTTGGCATATGCAAGTTATATATTTGTTTATGCATGCATGATTAGTAGAACTAGGACTAGGATTGATCCTGACACTCAGCACTCAGGATTTGAAGGAGCATCAGAAGCATGCCTAGAATTCCCTTAGTTAATCACGAGGATTAGCATTCCAGAAAACTCCAGCGGGAAAGATAGTTAAGTTTCAGTACTACTAGTAGGACTAGAGACTCATGTGCATTTGTTAATGATGTCAGGTGTTGCTGAGTTTTCAATGAATTGTTATTTGAGTTGGTTTCAAATATTATAATAAAGGTATTCTATTTATGAAAACTAGATAATTGGCCCGCGCTTTGCGGCGGGTCACATATTATATTGTAGATTTATAATTTTATATATAAATTTTGAGATTTATTGAATTCGCAATGCTCTTTGATTTTGAAAATGCAATCACATAATATATTTTTAGCAACTTTGCACAAAAGCTTTGATGCATAATGGATACTATAAATATTTTTCTTTAATATCATAACAATATTTTTCTTTCAATAAAAATTATTAGCTGATAATATAAAAAATAGTTTGGGACTATGAATCGAGAAAACTGTGAGCACCCTAACCAATTTGTGATTAGTGAACCATACTTGTTTGTCTAAATACTATGAAGAGTGAAGAGCACGTTAATTAAAAGATAATGATGTTTTATATTTTGAATCCAAAAATTTAATATGACGAATTTTAAAGGTGAGATTTCCCTCGTGATTTTTGTAGGTACTTTAGATAATTTGGATAATTGAAAGTGGTAATTGTCAATTTAAATTTTTAGTCATTTAAAATAAGAAGTACAAATGTAAAGAAAATAGAGGTAACGTGACACGCCACAGTAACTCTACATTGTTTATTCCAATCATTAGATATATAATTAAGTAACATATTTGATATTCATTGCATAAGAACTTTATCTATTTTGTAAGATTTGTGTAATGTCATTGTACAAATATTATTAAAATATAAATACATTACCTAAAGCTTACAAACGGAAAATTTACTTGCTACAAAGTATTTAAATTACATGTTTATGTGACAGTTTGGTACATTACGTAATTCGGTGTCATCTCTTAAATAAAAGATTAACAAATGTGCTACATAAACCATCTTAATAACGTAACATTTCACATTAATCGCCATTATCAAAAAATAACGTAACATTTCACATAAATTAGTGTTTATATTTAAATGTAAACATTATCAATTAAGTAAGACCTTATTCCACCAATGTTATCTAATATAAACTCACTTTATAAAATAAACATTAGACTTTTACACCTGCAAAGCTACAATATATAACATATTACAGTTTTTAAGTTACCATACTATAAGGAATTCAATGTATGATAAGAATATCGTAAGTAAGTGAGTAATGATAAACACACAGTTAGTTTAATAATCCCACATTTGCTGTACGATGAAGAAATACCATTCTAACCATAAAAAAGAGTTTCTTTTCATTGCAATGCAATGTTCCTTTTCATTAACCATTATTCTGACAAAGAGAAATTATTGGCTACTCCGGGAGTACCACATAGGATTAGTGATGTGGTACTCCCGGCCAATAGGTAACCACCAGGTGTCATTAAAATTTGATAAATATATTTATTGCTGGAAACTTCTCTATTTGTATTTTTAATTTATTTTTCGTGCAATTAAAGTCCCTCTCTCATCCCACAATAAAGGAAGATTAAACCCTCTTTCTTCCTCCTCCGTTTCTCCAGCCGTCGAGAAACCACCGCCGGGAAAACTGCCCCTTTATCGATGTCTCCGCCATGATATCATCCAACCGAACGGAGATTGAAGTCCTCTTCCTCCCAGCCACTGTCGAGAAGCCACCGCCGGGAAGATCGCCCCTCTTTTCGCCTCCTCCTTCGTTCTCCCTACCGGCGAGAAGCCACTGCCGGAAAGACTTTGGTCCAGTCTCGAGCACGATGAGATTCAGATCGGTGTCTCCACCACGCCATGATCTCAAACCCAATGGAGGTTGAAGACCTCTTCCTCCACGCCGCTAGGAAGACTTTGGTCCAGTCCCCCAGGCACAATTAGATCTGAATCGGTGTCCGCGACGCGATGATATCCAACCCAAATTCAATGTCAACCCAAAATCACCATCGATGATGCTTCTGGCGACCCTTTTCTTCCTCCCAAAACAAAAATTGACGGGCCGGAAAAGGGGTCTCAAAGTTTGGTGGTTGTTTATTAAAGGTAATTAACACAAAAGGAAATTTTAAATCCCAATTAAAACGTTTCCATAGAAAAATGCTTTAATGAATTTAAACAGACATGTGTCGAGTGGTTATTGGCCGAGAGTACCAAATCACCAATACCACGTGGTACTCCCGGTGTAGCCAATAATTCTCCTCTGACAAAAGACCCTCCTCTTTACACGTGGAGAAGAAGAAGAACACGTGTCGACAACACATGTTCATGCTCTCTTTTCCCCTGTCTATCTCATAGTTCCATTCGCAATTGTCTTTATTTACTCCATTCTTCCTTTAATCCGCAGATGTTCTCTCTAGGTTCATTTTCTACATTCGGAGAAATTAGACATCTCTTCTACTATCCCATCTTCCCTACAGCCAGATGATAGTGTCCGAAAGTGTATATTTTGTCTTTATGGGCTCGTGCCAGCAATTAGAATTTTGAATGAAGAAGTAAGAAAGTTGATTGCATGCAATCGAACTCCTCGGAAGGGTAGTTGCTTCTTCCATCGGCCACAAAGCACAGTCATTAATCGAATCTCCTTCTTCATGAAGAAGTAGGGAAGTTGGCTGCAGACTGCATGCAATTGTACTCCTCAATTTTAGAGAGGAAAAAGAAGTTCTCCGATTACCCTCTCACAATAACCCAACCCCAAAACAGAGTGGTCGATTGAATCTCCTTGGTCCATTTTAGAGATCGGAAAAAAGTTCTATGATTACCCTCTTCCAATAACCCAATCCCATTGGTCGAAAAACAGAGTGACCGAACTCTTTCCCTGACAAAAGAGATGACTTCCTCTATTCTTCCACTCAACCCGAATTTGATGGGATCGCCGGCCATGCAACCCGTCCCGACGACAAAGGGGAAGAAGCCAGAAGGAGTATTTAAAATTGACTACCCAGGTATCCACTGTCGAGTCTGATCGCTGGTATGGAATATAGACAATATTGTAGAACAGAAAAATCTCTCAATCCTTAATCATGGAACCGTGAGGCGTAGGTAAGAAATCAATCTGATCACTTTCGTCACAGAAAAATTAGGGAGTGGACAGGCAACTTGGCCAGCCGCCAAGCCAATCGTCAGAGGATAGGCCTAGGGGTGAGTAATTGGGGAAAGCGGGTGCAAAATAGTTACGGTACATCCACCCGCAGCCCACTGGACCCCTAATGCAAAACAGGCGCTATTTATATTCTAATTTATCTATTTATGAAAAAAAAAATTTGTTGTTTTTCCATGTCCTTACCTTACCGTTCATTTTATATTTAACAGTATGGTACTGGTATTCTAGTCAAAGTAATAACTACCCAGATTGGAGTGTTACAACTTTAGTACATTTTATTCTTCTTTTTTGCTTCGTACAAAGTCCTTTGTACGTTTATTACATATTTCATTGCGTAATGTGTATGATTTCGTACGGAAATTTTTTTTTCCCTGGCTTTCTTGACATCTTTATGAAAATATTTCAAAATTGATAAAATTGTTGTATCCGTTTAGCCTATAAGATCATCTATTTTATCCAGCAGCCGCATCAAATTTCATAGTAAGGGTACATAATATGCTTATTTTGGCATAGTAACCGACTCCTATGTTAAGCCAGGGATGACATGGCAAGAAGATGCATTAAAAGCAGGGCTGTTAATGAACAAGGCACTCATGAATGATTCGGTGTGCGACTCGAGAAAAATTCGTTCGACACTCGATTCGTTTTAATCAAGCCGACTCGCGAACAAGCTCGTTAATTAAACGAGCCGAACTCGAGCCATACCATGTTCAGCTCGAAAGCTCGCGAACAAGCTCATTTAATGGTTTGACATAAAAAAAGAATTAGAATTCATGGATTTTATGTATTGAAATTGGGATAAATATTGTGTTTTACATTGCTACAAATTTGAATGTAATTTTGTGCGCAGTTCTAGGTCAATCTTGAGCTATCATGAACATTTTATGAGATGAACTCGATTTTGGGCTCGTTAAACTTATTTGACGAGCCGAGCTCAAGTCGAGCTCGAGCTTTCATTTTCATAAACGAGCCGAGCTCGAGCTTGCATATTAAAGCTCGTGACGAACACGAGCCGAGCTCGAGCCTGAAAATATATTAACGAGCCGAGCCCAAACTATAACAAACCTCGACTCGACTCGACTCGGCTCATTAACGGCTCTAATTAAAAGTAGTGAAAGAAAGAAGGCAGTCATGGTCGGTATTGATTTTGACTTGAATTCCTGGGCGTAGTGAAGGGGGTTGGTCTGGTCATACGCACGAGACGTTCCCAAGTACACACCGTCGTCGTTCCATTTTACACACATTTACAGACCACAAAAAGTCCACCCCGCCGGGCCCTCAAGTCGTCTCACACCTTCATCATTCCCCCACTCATGGTGAGGTAAGCGCTTACCAAGACGATCGATGATCAGCCACGCACGCACACCTCATTTTTTAAATACGAAAACATAACTAAAAAAAATTGCAGTTAAATAATTTAGTAAAACTGTTTTGTATGGGTGGTCCGGCCGATAAAACCTCGTATCGAGATTATCTCCAATATACAATTTTTAACGGTATAACGTACGGTTGTACTACGGTTAAATTACAGTTTCAGAATAAAATATATCATTGGTGGTTTTTCTGATGCGACGACTTCTGGTACGATTTTACAATCGTTTTTTTTTAACTATACTAAACCGAAAGAGAAACCAAATAACAAGTTAAAGAAACCAGCTAAATGTGCGCAGTCGCTGTTAGCTACAGTAGCTGGGCCTTTCATAACTCCAATCAATTAATCTGTGGGATTAAAATTTTGAGAGCCTGAAAAAGCAGAATGAATGAACGTTGAAGTTTCGCTGCACCATCGCAGGAAGCTCCTTCCCCAAGCCGCCTGCCTGCCTGTGCTCGGCCCCTGATTCGCTTCGCTTCCCTTCCCCACCTTAATTACTTTTTATAAAATGCTCCGATCCTCACTCTCGGACTCTACTGAGCACCCTCATAATTAGCTCCTCAGATAATCAGAAACATTTGCTAGCTATAGCTAGTCATCAGATCTCCTTGGCCGGCCGGCGACATGTCCGATTTCAGGAATAACCCTACTGCTGCTGAAGGTACAGACGACGACGACCGTTACTTATATGTAGATGGCAGCACCGCCTTGGAGCTGTCGGAGTTGCTCAAGCTGGACGAGTGGGTGGAAACGGAGGATCATCCGTCATCCTTCGCCGGCGTTTCCTCCGGCTCTACCAATTCACTGAATCCTGTGTACCGAGCCTTCGTCGTTGGTCATGATCATGATTATGGCCCTGCGGTGTCCGCCGGATCCTCCGGTACTGGTAATAATACATACATATGTCCACATTCCATGCATCTTTTTCCATGTTCAAATAGCTTTGCACGTTTGTTAACCTGTGAGAGACCTACCTGGCATGATGCATGTATAACATGCACACAGATCTGCACGCCAGCCCGCGGCTATCACTACATATGCTTTACTTCCTATGCTATGGCTTGCCTGCTGATTCTTGCAACTGTTGTTGTTGTTGTTGTTCGTATTATTAATTAGGCACTCCCTCCCTACTCCCTAGTAGGGATGGTAATGGGCAGTTTTGGGTGGATTTGGCTAAATTATTTCCTAATCTCACTTTCAATTTGTAAGTCTATACCCTAATCCCAATTCTCACCTTCACAAATTTTCGGATATCCATCAATAATATCCTTCTTGGAAATTCAAATCCAAACCAAAATTTAAAATTAATTTAATTAAATGGAAAGCACAAACGATTTAGAGTTAGGACGTCGAGCAAAGATTATATATCATAAAGTTGGAACCACAAAAAACATAGTAAAACTTTAAATTCTTAGGAAAATTAGAGATAATTACAAGTGGCATATATATGTATTGTTGGAATTGGAAAAGTGAAACGAATCAAGATTTTTAGCATTGTATTATTTTAAAATTTTAGCTTAATGGAGGAGGAATAGATCAGAAGACATGTAATTGGTTTATGGGAGTATATCATGAATTACGTACATGTAGGACGTTATGGGTATGAGGATGGGGGACACCTAAACTCATGCCACCACTTTAATATCTTTGTGGGTAATAGCCACACTCGCCCCGTACCCGATCAATTTAGGGATTCCCTTGTTGACTAAGTCGGGGAGGGTCAGATACCCACGAGTACTGTCGATACAATTACCATCCCTACTCCTTACAGTGTCTTAATTCTTCTTCCGTAATTACCTTTCTACTTTAAATTAGAATTTACCCAAAATGTAAATAAAAGATTGAAAATACCAAGAGAAGATTTAAGGTGAGAAAAAAAGAAGATAAAGGGTAGTCTTAGTTATCAATTGCTTTATTTATTTAATTTTTTCATGAAAAATTAGAACAATCTAATGGTGATGAACCATATTATGAATATTGAGTATTGCTATAATTTTTAGATGTAATGACTATAGTATTAATTAAGTTTAAGGACGATCAAATAGCACAACACACAAGTGGATGATCATATTAACCTTTTTCGTGGGTTGGATTTTGAAACCAGGAGAGAGAGCGGAGACGAGGTCGGAGCTGGCAAAAGAAAGGGTTGCATTTAAGACCAAATCAGAGGTGGAGGTACTGGACGATGGCTACAAATGGAGGAAGTACGGCAAGAAGATGGTCAAAAACAGCCCAAATCCAAGGTAATCTATACACACATGCAGTTTTATGGCACTTAATTAATGTTATTACCGGAGATGGAATTTAGATCAATCGTCATTAATAAGCCGAGCTAATTAATGACTGCAGGAACTACTATAAGTGCTCAAACGAAAGTTGTTCAGTGAAGAAGAGAGTTGAGAGAGACAGGGATGATCCCTCATACGTGATTACCACCTACGAAGGAGTCCATAACCACCAAACTTAACTAGCTAGCTAGCTAACCCTCGATGGCTTGAAGTTCTGCTTCCACTTCCTCGATCTCATATTTGTGTAATGCAGATACATATGTATACACGTGTATTTTGGTGCTTATACATGGTCATTTTCAATCGCGAATTCTGCATTAATATCATATCACGATGTTGAGTCTCTCAAATCAATATCTCCTCCATGTGAGCATCCATATAGCCACTGTTATAGACAATCCAGGTACCACATCAGAAATACAAGGGAAACAATCTTTGTATATTAGTGTCCACCTGATTCATTAGTACAAGGACTTTTGGGGATGGTACCCAAAAGTAAATTTGTGCGGCTTGGTCCAAAGCAAACGATCGTACTAATGGAGCTACCCGCTTTCAAAATTCAAGAATGACTTAAGCGAATATGAGATCAGAAAGTTCATAGGGAAGAACAGTTTTAGCATATAGCAGATCAAGATGCAAACACTTTAAAAACAACAAAAGATGAGGGGCCACTATCCAAGAAACTTAGAAGTCCACGATAAGGAGTTGATTACCTTGGAGGAGATCGGCCAACTCCACAATCATGCTTTCGCTTGATGATGGCGTCATCACTGAAGTTGCCGCAGAGAAAATTGCCGCTAGACTATGCACTACAACAAACATGACCTTTGGCAATGGTAAATCTCCTCGTTGAAGCTCTGAAATCCGTCACCAAAAGTTTCTGCGATGAAGAATGTTGTTGCCAATTCCTTCCAACTGTCATTGCCTATATCGCGTTGCCCTAGCTTTTTGCGACGAAAAAGTGTGTATCGTCGCAAAAAGATGCCATTCATCGCAAAAAGGGTGGATCTTCTGCGACAACATACTAGTCAATATTGTTTAGCGGCGAAACACTTGTCGCTGAAGCAATGGATTTCACGACGAATATCTTTGTTCATCTCCACATTTTGACTTAGCGTTCGCTTTAGCTAAGAATATGTTATCGATGAATATATGTTTGAGTGACGACATATTCGTTGCGGAATATGTGCTTTAGCGGTCACATATTCGCTGCAAAAAATCTTTTCAAATTTGATACCACCCCTTTAGCGATGATAGAAGCACAACTTTGGCAAGTAACCTTGATTTTGGCTTTTGCACCCTGTTTTCTTGTCAAACAACTATTTCACATATAAAAGTAAATACAACTGAATTCTATTTCATGAAATGAAGAATAATATAACAATTTCGTTGATATGAGCATAATGCATAATAGATCACTAATTGAACTTGTTTCCGACTACGATATATATTACATTGAAAATGTAGTTGTAGATAGCTACACCTATAAAACAAAACCAAAAATTCATTGTCCATGCTCAAGAAGTAATGTATATAGAAGACTAGAACCATACACAAATATCCCCATTGTCGGTCCATGCCAAAAGATCCCCAACAGCTAGTCACTGTTGGAGTCCATGCCTATAGACTCCGCTAATCTATCTGGATAAATTTGTATGTGTCCTTGGTTACTTTCTCATGCAGAACAGGAACCCGCAAGTATTTGCCAAGATTGTTCGTTCATTTAATGCCCATGGTATCACTGATTTTTTGTTTCACCTAGTCCTTGGTGTTTCTAGAGAAGAAGATGCACGACTTGTCTTTGCTGACATGTTCTCTGGAAGCCCCGCAGAATCGATCGAGGCATGCTATTATTTCCTCCCCTTGTTTTTGCTCAGCCTCCGCCAATAGGACCAGATCGTAACCCTACCGAAGACCTCTAGATTGTGAAAACAAAGGTGCTTTTGAAGTGAAAAAAATATATTTTTAATTATTTATATGCTTATATTCTATTATTTAAAAGAACATCATACAAAATTTCGAAATTAAAAAAGAGAAATGTCACAAGTGGAGGTTGTTGTTGGTCAATGGTTAACGGCTGACCGCAATATATAATAGACGATTAACCGATAAGTCTTATCAGTTCAGTTGTTAGCATGCGTCTTTTATTAGTGACTAATCACTAACTGTGCCAAATCAATCGGTGGTTAATTGAAACTGAACGAACCCCAAATTATTCTAGTCCTTATAAAGACGATGTTCCCTTTGGACAAAAGTTCAATCAAAGAAAGGCAACCTGTATTCTTGATTTATAAGCAGCTCCATAACCCAAGATGTAGGGTTTACCATTACGTTTCCTCCTAACCTAAATTCAAGTCCCTAAGCTAAAACAGACTTAAATTGTGTGCTAAACACCTTAACCATTAGTGGGTACTGTACTTCTTTACATTATTTCCCCCCTGGAGGATGTAATGTATAACAGACAAGAGTGCGGATAATCACGTTGCGTACTAAACCACGGTGAAGTAAATAACAGTTCACTAATTCCGTGCAATTAAAGAAATGAACAAAATGGAATGCCGTATATTAATTCTAATCAAAAGGGAGCATATGTTATAATTAATGCAATTTGCTGGGTAAATGCCACATTTGGTCACTAGAATTACTATATCATGTCATGTTTAGTCACTAGAAAAAATTAATATTATTTTGGTCACTCGGATTACTGAAACATGTCACATTTAGTCACTCTCCCGTTAGTTTCCGTCCAACTCCATTAACGAAGTTGGATGGAGGCTAACAGAGAGTGACTAAATGTGACACGTTTTGATAATTCGAGTGACATTCATAAAAAAAAAGTAATTCGAGTGAACGGAGTTGACGGAGGCTAACGGGAGGGTAACTAAATGTGACTTGTTTTAGTAATTCGAGTGACCAGAATTGATATTAATTTTTTCTAATGACTAAAAATAACACGATTTAGTAATCCAGTGACCAAATATGACATTTACCTCAATTTGCTGCTATAAAATCAGCCGTCTTGTCATCTAGGCTGTAGCCGTGTAAACAAAACCATTTCCAATTTCCCGCCTTTCCAGTTCTCATCCCTCTCGCTTCCTCGCATAACCAGGCCGGCCGGAGCAAGAATGGCGGAATTCAAAGGCCAGCCTCGTCTCCCCGAGTTCGCCGTTCCGAAACATTACGAAATCCGCCTGAAACCCGACCTCAGCTCCTTCAGATTCGCCGGCTCCGTCGCTGTTGATCTCGACATCGTCTCCAGCACCAAATTCATCGTCCTGAATGCTGCTGAGCTCTCCATCACCTCCGGCTCCGTCTCCTTCTCCAGCAAAGCTACCTCTGAGGTAAGATACGTTGCTATTTCCATTCCGGAAAAAAAGGGAATCGGCGAATTGTTTCCGTAAACTGTGAAATCGAAAGCAGGTGATGAAGCCGATGACGGCTGAAGCTGTGGAAGCAGACGAAATACTGATACTGGAGTTCCCCGAGAAGATTCTCTTAGGGATTGGAGTTCTCAAGCTCGAATTCGAGGGAATTCTGAACGACAAGCTCAAGGGATTTTACAGAAGGTATACATGTTCTTTGTTCACTCGGTTCCCGCCCCCTTCCTGCTATCCGCGCCCTTGTAAATTCTTCGTCTTAATTAACTGCATATGTTCAGTGCGTATACGATCAATGGAGAGACGAAGCATATGGCGGTTACTCAGTTCGAGCCTGTCGATGCGAGGAGGTGCTTCCCTTGTTGGGATGAACCAGCTCTCAAGGTCTTCTAAGTCTTCCCTTTTCCTTTACATCGGCAGTTTTTTTAGATTGAATCTTGGCCGTTTTCTTTAAGTTCTAGCCTAGCAGTACTATGTCCTGTTGCACTTCAATCTTTTTAGATGTTGCTTGGCAATAATACAGGCTACGTTCAAGATCGCATTAGACGTTCCCTCGCAACTAGTTGCACTTTCCAACATGCCTGTGACCAAGGAGGAAGTAGATGGTTCTGTGAAAACAGTTTTTTATCAGGAGACACCTCTAATGTCGACCTATTTGGTGGCGGTTGTTGTCGGAATGTTGGACTATGTTGAAGCTCATACGTCTGATGGTACATATGCTAAATCTGATCTCCAATGCCTGCAGTGGTTATAAAAGCAAAATCCCATTTCCCTGAACTGATAATACCATCTGTGCAGGAGTCAAAGTTCGAGTATACAGTCAGGTAGGGAAGGCAGATCAAGCGAAATTTGCTCTGGATGTTGCTGTCAAGACACTTGAGTTCTACAAATCGTAGGTTTTGCACAATTGGACAGTGACTCCAGCCTACAACACCTTTATTGGATTGAAAGTTACTCATCCCTCGCCTCTTTTTGTGTTTTTTCAACAGATACTTTTCCATTCCATATCTTCTTCCAAAGCTGGATTTGATTGCAATCCCTGACTTCGCTGCTGGGGCTATGGAGAATTATGGCTTAGTCACATTTCGTGAAACGGCCTTGCTCTTTGATGAGCAGCGTTCTGCTGCTGCTAACAAACAAAGGGTATGCCAGCCCTCCTCCCAGTTTCTTTTCCTCTTCTTTGTCAATTATCGTCATGTGGCACCATCTAATATATTTACTACATTCCCGAACATAGAGATAACTCATAGAACATGCAAGCCAGCAGATCGAATGTATTATGTTTGATATATGTTCTTCTATCGAAAGCGACATTGCCTGAGACATGATTCTCTGTATGATATAATTACTTCATTCACCTGTTGCTCAAGTAGGTCGCTGAGGTAGTGGCCCATGAACTGGCACACCAGTGGTTTGGTGATCTTGTAACAATGAAGTGGTGGACACATTTGTGGCTGAATGAAGGTTTTGCAACTTGGGTAATACCACTTCTGTTTCAGCACCGGTTTTATTTTTTGGCATCTATTGATCTGCCTGTTGTGAAACCTGGACAACCGTGGTTCTGCTTTTGCAGATGAGCCATCTTGCAAATGATAATCTATTTCCAGAATGGAAAGTATGGACCCAGTTTCTCGGTGAATTTAGTGATGCTCTTAGGCTGGATAGCCTTGAAGAGTCGCACCCCATTGAGGTATATGAATGTTTTTTTCTATGGTTACAGAAACACTAGCAGTTGTCACCTGTTATAGTGCTTCTTTTTTTATAACTGTTATAGTGCATTTGGGTTTCAGGTAGAGATAAATCATGCCTCTGAGATAGATGAGATATTTGATGCTATTAGCTATCAAAAGGGTGCCTCAGTTATCCGTATGCTGCACAACTATCTTGGTGCTGAACCATTCCAGGTTGGTACATATATTTTTTAGTTTCTGCGGATTTATAAAACGAGGGCAAAGACCATTAAATGATTGAATCATTGTATACCATACTCCTGGTTCTACTATCTCAGAGGTCAATTGCTTCATACGTAAGAAAGTACGCTCACTCAAATGCGAAAACTGAAGACTTATGGACTGCCCTTGAAGAAGGATCTGGGAAACCAGTTAGCAAGCTAATGAATTTATGGACAAAGCAGAAG